ATGATATTTGATGGAGAGTTGACAACAGTTGGGTGATGATATGTGTGGGTTTGAGAGAGAGAGAGAGAGCTGCCGTGGAGGGGATGGAGAAGTTTGCCGGCGCACTCACCGACCCATGAAAAGACAGCCCACCCATAGATATTTTTAGGCAGAAGTGGCATCCACCGCTTCAAACCACATCGCAGCTTTTCTTACGACAAATAAATGATGTGATGAATGTATAAGTGATTTAGTAAATAATAATTATAATTATAATTATAATTATATATGAGCTATTTTTGAAAGAAAAACAAAAGAAAAAAGAAAAAAGAAAAATGGAAAAATAAATATATTGTAGCCATGGTGGGCCCACGCAGTCCTTTGTACCATTTTTATGGCTTGTCAAAGCGAAGCATCAATTACGATCCAAAGTAGATTTGTTGGCAGCCCATTTTCTCTCTCTCTCTCTCGCTCTCTCCGAAGCAGATATTTGTAGTTCCGTCACCACCTCACAGCCACTTCCTCTCCGATCTCCTTTATCACCTCTGTTCAACCCTCCCATCTCATACGGAAGCAGCGGTAGTCGTAGTGGTAATAGGAGGACGGTGGGCAGATTCATTTGCAGCAGCAGCGAAGGAAGAGAAGAGAAGAGAAGAGAAGAGAAGAGCATATAAGAGACGGGCATAGAGGAGGATGGCAGCAGGAGTAGAGCGAGGGAGAGGAGGAGCCGGCGGGGGAGGGAACCCGCTGAAGCGACTCAAGTGGTCGCAGGAGGACGAAATGGAGCTCGAGGAAGAGGAGGAAGAGATGGCGGGCCTTGGCCGGTTCTACTACCCGGACTGCCCTTCGGCTTTCGTCGTCTCCGACGCCGTCGAGCCCGACTTCCCGCTCATCTACGTTAACACCGTCTTCGAGAACGCCACCGGATACCGCGCCGACGAGGTCCTCGGACGGAACTGGTGATTCTCTCTCCCCCCCCCCCCCTAACCTTTGGATGATTCCGATCGAGTTAACCCTTGCGATGGGTCAAAGATTTGACGTCAAAATTTCATCTTTTCCGGGTATTTATTTGATTGGTTAATTTCGAAAGTTTCTGATTGGTACCGTGTGTGTGTTGGTAGCCCCATCATCTTGTTTCATTCCGGGAAGAAGGATTATTCAAGTCCAGTGGACGTTCTACTACAGCCACATCCTCGATTGAAGGGAGCAGCTAATCTTGTCGCCCTTGTCTACAGAAAAACCATGATTTACGCTCCAGGATTGAATGAAACGATCGACATCACAATAAAAAGAAGTTTTCTTGCCATCCGAATCGAAATCAATTCCTTATTCTTCTGATCAATCGATCTTTCCCTTTCTCCTTTGTTTTGCCTCTATGCCTGATATGTTGGAATAATAATGTGTATATGGTCGAGCTAGTTATCCTACTTCATTCTCCCTTTTTTCTTGCTTCGTATGTGTCTCATGGTTCTCTCTCCTATTTCAGAGCTTAACTCGCTTTTGTTCCGAATTAATTGTTAGGTAGTTGAAGGAATCTCCATGAGATTTGGTAAATGCACAAGATTTTTGGTTATTCTGTCATTTTTGGTAAATGCACAATGGATGGATAATTTGGATCGAGTGCCTTTTTTGTGCAATTACCATGGGACTTGTGAAGAAGGAACACTTTAAGATGATATATTCCCTTTGAGTCGTAGTAAATTGAGATATTGTTGCCGTCAAAGCAATCACAGTAAGTAGAATGATGGAGACTCTCTGGTTTGGGATTTAGGGGTTTCTGCAATATGAAATGCTGGATTTGTATGTATTCCATGGACAACATTTATCTATGTCAATCAAGTAATTTACAACTAGTGATGATATTGTTCATCATAAAAGATTACAATTAAGCATAGTTGTATGGCTACTATGATTAAGTTCTTCACCTATTGCTTGATTTGACTTGATATATATACCTTTTTACATGAGTAGAATTATCTTAACAGCAAAGTAATTGCAAGATCTGCAGGCTACATGTTGGCCAAAGTATTTTCTCAGAACCAAATGCAACTATCAAAGAGGTTTATCTTCTCTTGTTCTGGTGTTCCAACTTTCTTTCCAAGTTCTTTTCTTTTCCTTGAAAAAATTCATACAACTTAGCGATATAGGGAATGTGTTGAATCTGTTAATTGGACGTAGCTATTCGATACTTCCAACTCCAGCGATATAGGGAACGTTGCTAGTTGGATTGCAATCTTGGTATAGTTATTCTGATAGTTGCTTTGAAGCTTCATTCATGTTCTCTTACGGCAGTTGTCTCCCTTTAAGCCGTTGCCATCATTAGCCACACTGCACAAATAGCAGAAGCATTTAGGTCACCTACCTTGTGGTCCTGCTCTGTCATCAGCATATACATGGTCCCTCTTTTTATTTTCTTTCATCTGCTTTGTTTTGTTACCATAAGTGTAAGCATTATAATCATTGGTTGTGCTTTGCCCCCAAAATTATTTTGCCCTCTATGCCTGTCATTTCTTTTTGAGTAAGAAGATCTGCAAACTTGATTGATTCATTTCAGAACCCTGTTTCAGCCGATTCTTGCAGTTTCGTGATCCGCGAGCACAAAGACGGCATCCCTTGGTGGACCCAATGGTTGTCGCTGAAATTCATAGATGTCTGGAGGAAGGGATAGAGTTTCAAGGCGAGCTTCTCAATTTTAGGAAGGATGGCACTCCGCTGGTGAACAGATTAAGGCTTACGCCGATATACGGCGATGACGGCTTCGTTACCCACATCATAGGCATCCAGCTGTTTTCTGAAGCAAACATTGATCTCAACCGTTTGTCGTACCCAGTTTTCAAACAGACCTCCTTCATCAAGTCCTACCATCAGGATCCAAAATTCTCCATACCTGAAACCAATTCTAATAACCAAAACCGGGACTACTGTGGGATCCTTCAGCTCTCAGATGAAGTCCTGGCACATAACATCTTGTCACGCTTGACACCTCGAGATGTAGCTTCTATTGGATCAGCATGCATTAGAATGCGTCAACTAACTAAAAATGAGCATTTGAGGAAGATGGTTTGCCAAAATGCATGGGGAAGAGAGGTGACCATAAGATTGGAGCTGAGCACCAAAAGATTAGGATGGGGCAGGCTAGCAAGGGAGCTAACCACACTGGAGGCTGCCTCGTGGAAGAAGTTCACAGTTGGTGGCAGAGTCGAGCCTTCCCGTTGTAATTTTAGTGCTTGTGCTGTTGGTAATCGGTTGGTTCTCTTCGGAGGAGAAGGCATCAATATGCAACCGATGGATGATACTTTTGTTCTCAATCTCGAGTCAGCAAATCCAGAATGGCACCGTGTGAAGGTCACCTCATCGCCTCCAGGACGCTGGGGGCACACGCTTTCATGCCTAAGTGGTTCATGGCTGGTTGTCTTTGGTGGATACGGCAGTCAAGGATTGCTGAACGATGTGTTTGTGTTGGACTTGGATGCCCAGCAGCCAGGTTGGAAAGAAGTCTTCGGTGAAGCCCCTCCTCTTCCAAGATCCTGGCACAGCTCTTGCACTGTTGGTGGATCCAAACTTGTTGTATCAGGTGGGTGCACCAGTGCCGGTGTCCTTCTAAGTGACACTTTTCTACTGGATTTGACTAGGGAGAAGCCAACATGGAGGGAGATACCCTCCCCATGGGTGCCTCCTAGGCTTGGTCACACACTTTCAGCGTATGACAAGACTAAGATTCTGATGTTTGGAGGACTGGCTAAGAGTGGCTCACTAAGGCTGCGGTCATGCGATACATTCAGTATCGACTTGGAAGATGATGAGCCTCAGTGGAGGCAGCTAGCGACCACCGGCTTTCCTGGTACAGGTCCGCCACCAAGATTGGATCATGTGGCTGTCAGTTTGCCTTGTGGAAGGATTATCATCTTCGGTGGATCGATCGCAGGCCTTCACTCACCGTCGCAGCTCTTCCTCTTGGACCCATTAGAAGATGAACCAACATGGAGGATCCTCAATGTCCCTGGTCAGCCCCCAAAGTTTGCATGGGGACATAGCACTTGTGTCGTTGGAGGGACACGAGTTCTTGTGCTCGGTGGTCACACCGGTGAAGAGTGGATTCTGAATGAGCTGCATGAGCTATGCTTGGCTAGCAGACCCGAAGGAGATCCATGATCTCGATCATTATGTTTTAGATGTTCATTGGAGTGAAAAAGAGTTCCTTCTCAGTTACCATATGTTTCAGTATTTGCCTCAATTTTCCTTGTTTGCTTCTGTGGGAATCTTGCTCTTCATTGTGTTGTATCATCCCCACCTTCAGCTACATCTAAATCTGCTGTACATAAACTTTACAGCGTATAAATAACTGATGTATTTATACTGATTCAGCTGATGTCAATCTCAGGTTGCCAAAATGACAAACTTTCTTTGTGCTACCTCACCTAAGCAATTTTGATTTCCAAAGTCTCCCGAGTGATCTCATCTTCAAACTGGTCTTCTTGCAAGAATGTCAGAGCAGATGAAATCTCAGAGTTCCCTTGAGGGCCACTACTGCTTGATGAGGGTATCAGTGGATGTGACCTACAAAATGCAATACTTATTGCTTCTCTGAGCATTGGGTGATGTTGGATCAATGACAAAACTCGAAGATATTGGGTGCTGATCGATCAAATAAGGTTTCTGCATTTTTGCCTAAATGGTTTTCTTTTTCTTTTTCTTATTCATGAAATATTCAGATATGGATCCAAAGATGAAAAGGTGTGCTTACCCTCCGTCAGTTGGACCTCAAAATCGCCTAAGAAAAATCTTTTGGGTGCTAAATGGTTCGAATTCCATATCGTTGTTCGTACCTGCGGTGGTCGGAGCAGGGAGATCCAAAGACCGAAGTGTGCTTACCTCCCACCAGTCTAACTTCGAAATGGCCGCCAAAAAAAAATTTCCGAGCCAAAATTGGTTCAACTTCCACTTCTTTATGCTCGCTCGCGGTGATCGGAACCCACTTCCACAGCAGTGAGATCCCAACACTGCAGTGAGCTTACCTCCCTTCAATCTGATCTCGAAAAGGTCCAAAAAAAAATTTTGAGCAAAAATGGTCCCGACTTCCACATCGGTATTCTCACTGATTGTGATCGGAACCCACCCACGTACCAATGAGATCCAAAGACATGGTGTGCTTACCACCCACCAGTTTACTTCGAAATCGCCGCAAAGAAAATTTTCCGAACCAAAAAGTTCAACTTCCACGTCTTTCTGCTCGCTTGCGGTGATCGGAACCCACTTCCACAGCAGTGAGATCCAAACACGACACATGTGCTTACCTCCCTTCAATCTGATCTCGAGAAGGTCCCGAAAATAAATTTTTTGAGCAAAAAAGGTCCGACTTCCAAATAGGTATTCTCACCGCAGTGCTCGGAATGCACCGCAGTGCTCGGAATGCACCGCAGCACTAGAATCCAAAGACGTGAGGTGTGCTTACCTCCCTTCAATCTGATCTCGAGAAGGTCCCAAAAAAAATTTTTTGGGGCAAAAAAGGTCCGACTTCCAAATCGGTATTCTCACCGCAGTGCTCGGAATGCACCGCAGCACTAGAATCCACAGACGTGAGGTGTGCTTACCTCCCTTCAATCTGATCTAGAGAAGGTCCCAAAAAAAATTTTTTGGAGCAAACAAGGTCCGACTTCCAAATCGGTATTCTCACCGCAATGCTCGGAATGCACCGCAGCACTAGAATCCAATGAGCCGAAGGTGTGCTTATCTCCCATCAGTAGGACATCAAAATGGCCTCAAAAAATATATTTGTGCACATGTTGGTTAGAATCCCAGCTTCTTATTAACACTCGCAGTGTTCAGAACCCACTCAGGTGTGCGATGTCCGACGACCGTCCGATCGACTTACCGCGTCCCATGATCTATCACAAAGCGCTTCAAAAAACATTAATTTATCACAAAATTGATCTCTATTTGGTTTAGTGGATGGAAAGCGTCGCAGCCATTTTGCCTTGGAAAGATAGTTAACTCATCATGCTCCCAGTCTGCATACAAATCAAACTTTAAGTTGGTTGGATTCCATACCAAGTCGATGCGATCCATTGACATACCCCCCTTCGACACACACACAAACAACAGAATGTAAGACGAGCACAAACCCAGATAGATTATGAACCAACAAGATTTTTGCCTTTTTGTGTGAACACCTTATGCATAGAATTCCAATAGGAAAAACAATGTAACTGTAGCTAACAACATGAAGAGTATGCTGTGTAGAAATCACCAATGAGAACCAAATATCTAACCGTAGACAGACTCTTCATGTTGAAGATCAATCGCAATTGTAGTTACAGTTCAAGTGTTACAAAGAATAAAAGAGATAAAATGATCAATCAATAGACTGATGCTCTTCATGATGTTTGAAGGCATTTTGCTTCAAGTATGAAAACGTCAAGTGTCGAAATGGAACCTTTCCTTTGGTAGCCATTATAATTGTTGTAATATGCAGATCTCATATCCAGTCTGTTTAGACTATCATTTCCAGCCAACAGAATCAATCTCATCTCTTGCATGTTTGTAGAGCTCCAGTCTCTTAGCTATGGCATTTCTCTTCTCCATGAGAGTTGGGTCCTCGTCCAACATAGCACTAAGCTGCTTCTTCTGCAGCAATAAAAGCAAACGTGTCAATTGAATCAGTTTTGGCTTGCGTATAGATTTAAAAGCTTGAGATTAAACACAATTTACCATCAATTAATCACAAAATAAACAAGCATTCAAACAAATAGCAACATCAACCTGTTTTTAACTTTTTTATTGTCTGGTGGGTCAAAAAAGGAACATCTAATCTATTTCAAGATATATAGTATCCCATCAGCCACAAATTTTGAGTATTATTCTTACTCTTTCAGATTCGTTATCTTAGTAAGCTGAGTCAAAAAATTTAGGTCTATATAGATCGAAGGAAATGAGACTGGTTCAAGCAAGAAGAAAAAAAAGAAATAGGCATTGTGCCACAATACAAGTCTATCAATCATTCCAAGCAATTGGCAATCACCAAGCCAATGGACCATTCACCATCAATTATTGCATGAAACATATTTTGTGATTGAAGGCACTTTTTAAACTGGATACAGAAAGGTAAACACTAAGTAATTGGAGTAATGGCTAATTGGGCTGATAGCCCTATATCATATCTTCTTCAGAATTGCATGCATCATCAATAGAATGGGCGTGAAACTAAAAACTACAGCAAGAGTAAGTTGCTGAAAGACAGACCTCCCTCCCCCCAACTTGCGCATAAAAATAATTAAGCAGCGACTTCTTTGCTTCGCGGACTTGACAATGAACGACAGCCTTTGGTATAGTATTCTTCAGTGTGTCGCATACCATGCCAACATAAGATGACACATTGGAACCTGAAATCGGAATCGATTAGAATGCCAAAAATAGATGTCATGAGCATGGCCAAGGCAATATCACATCATCATACATATACATAAGTAGGATAAAAAAATACGAGGAAATCTTGTTTCAGACATGCTGCAGGTATGAAACTTGAATACTACCAAATTGAACTTGAGCAAATGCATGCTTTACAAGTACAGATGTATGGATTTACCAATTTTCCTCAGGTGGTGATCACCATATCTGTCGGGTGCTGGAGTATTGGGAGTTGAACCAGGATTTGAACCTTTATCAGGTTCATGAGAGAGTTTTCTGAAGAAGTCCACTGTGAGGTAGGCTGACTCCATTTCTACTAGACGAAGAACTGTTTTCCGGCTGTCATCCCGGAACCTTTCCAAAGCTTCATTTGCTGCAGCTGCTATATCACTCTGAAGAGTTGGGAAGCGCTTCAGTTCCTACCAACGCAACACAACACCACCACATCAGCATAATCAAGTAAGCAATAAGCTTCAGGACCTTGCAGCTACTCCAAAACAGTTTGTGATACATGGGTATCTCACGGAGATAATTGATAAGCCAGTCCCTTCATTGAGAAGACATCCAATATACCACTTTCTGATAAAAAAACAAATTATGCACTAATAATATTCTTGTGAATACTATAACATAACAAAGCACATATAACCGAGTAAAACAGCAAACTAAAATTAAAACTAATTGCAATACTGTTACACTCATCAGTAGCAATTTACAAAACCTGCATCGGGAGTAACATCAACAAGGTTTTTAAATCATTCATGATGAAATGAACAATATTGGACCAAACAAGAGCATAATTAAAATATCAAGATGACCAGTGTATCGCTTAGAGGATGCAGAAAAAAATTCATTAAGAATGCACAGAAATTTAAAATCCGCTAACATATTCCATTAATAATATTTACAGTAAAGTTAAAATATGTATTTAGATATGTATATGCATAAAAAACAAAGATATAGAAACTTGTCCAATATTACTTAATTAGGATAAACATTAAACAAAACAATCATTAAAGAAAGTCAAACCCAAAGCATAAGACACCCATTAATATGGAATTTTGAGTGGCTCACTCTATTTTGTCTTACTCCAACAAGTCTGGATGAAATATATACCAACAATGAATCCAAATTGTTAATGACCCAACTATTTGGAATTAGGCACAAAAAACTTTTGCCACAATTGAACACTGCATAAAGTAATATCCTATTTATAGTTTCCAGTAAGGTCATCGTAGGCCTCCCTCTAGCTATCAATCTACAACTGATCTCCCTATAGGTCTTCTCATATCATCTTAAACAATTGTCCCTCATTTTATCCTCTGTCAAATCTGGATGTAATTGTCTACATATGAAAACATTTATTTTTCTATACTTCCTACTAGCTCCACATATTCATAAAACATCGCTGGCCTACTGGCCTAAGAACATAAATGGTGATCATGCAAAACTCATGACACTTCTATGAATAATATCTTCATCAATTTCTCCATAATCAACTCAAACCTAAAACTTTTACTTATTCGAACTTACTGTCCATTCAACCTCAGTTCTTCTCTTTATATTATTTAGATTATATCTCATATATTTAATTTGAATCCTACTTAATTTAAAATCCTAGTTTCCAAGGATTATCTCCAAAACTCCGGTCTGTAATTAATTTCATTTAAACTTTCATCTACTTTAACTATCAAGTTCGTCCATTCGTCCACCAATATAAAAATGTAAGGATTTAAAGTTGATCCCTGATGTAAACCTATACTCCTAAGAAACTTATTAGACACCCTTCATAGTTTTAAAACTAGTGACCACACTATCATAAATATTCTTTTCATGACATCAACATGATTAGTGGAATATAGATCTCAACAAATTTTATCAGACTTTTTAGAATCAATAAAAATCATATGCAAATCTTACTTTTGTTCTCTATACTTTTTTATTATTTGTCTTAATAAATAAATAACTTATATAATTCACCTTCCCAACAAACATAAAACCAAATTAATTTTCAAATATATTTGTTTCATATCTTATATATTTTCATAGTGTAACTCATAAGTTTGATTCTTTATAACTAGAACAATTTTGAATATCATTGTTATCCTTATAAATAAAATTAATAAACTAAAACAACTAATATTAGTTAAAATAAAAAATAAAAAGATACATTATATTAAAATAAACATTTTAAGTATTGGAAAGACGCTAACATACTCATCACTAGCATCATATGTTTTCTCGGATTAATTACAAGAATATGTATAGAAAGCTGTTGCAAGTTAATCATAAGTAAACAATATGATGAAAATAACAATATAAAAATGTTTTAAAAAACAAATGATGATGGATGGTCATGGTCTGTAAAAGCTGATTATAGGAGTTGGAGAACAATGGAGTGAAAACAAGTGGAAACACCAAAAAGATGTCTCCAGATTTCTGCAATTTACTTTTTGAGTTGTTTTTCTAGAATGACCATCGAAAGTTGATAGGGCAGAAATTTGAATGATGCGTCGCCGGCACGAGGGCCGTGCGATCCGTCGAGTTATCATGAATCATCGGATGAACTGAAAACAATACTCAGAAATCAGAACCATACTAGCACAAGATATCTCAGAAAGTATAATGCTCACTGAAACTTCTAAGAGGAATTCCTTAACCAACAAAATGTCACCATTAAAACCCATATAAGAAAGTTTCCAAGATGTCGAATGAGGAAGCCAGAATGCTGCTATTCAATGAATTAGACTGATGAGCCCTAAGAAGTCTAATTGATGGACAAATGTAACATAAGCCCAACCTGCTACTGAATGGTTCTCTGGATACAATTCTTTTTCTCTTTTGCAAGAACAATGATATCTGGTACGAAAATTTTCGAGGATCGACAATTTGAGCACAGTTATGAAACCTTAGATGCAGTAATTATGACAACGTTTTGTTAGTGTAAAGAGTTAGGAAGTATCATCAAGAAATCTGTGCACAAGTATTAAAAAAACAACAGATGACTGACAGAACAAGTGTCTAGTTTCACCCATCATAATGCTTGGAATATTAGGATCTTAAATATGTAAAAGAAAAAAGAGCACATACATGTTAATCTTTGGCTGCACACACAGGCCTACCAAGTTCCAAGATAATATTTGCTTTTGTAGTTTGAACTTATTATAGATGAACCATTTTTTGTTGTTTATTGCACACTTCTATAGGTAAAATCATGCTGCTGGCTGCTCCCAGTTATACAACAACATCAACAAAAATCAGTCATAATGTCTGAACTATTTGCAGTAGGTTACATGGACATAGAAAGAGGATTTGAAATAACAAGAAATATAAGCAAACAAAAGAACATAAGGCATGTGAGATATACATTTAGTTACTTTCTAAATAAGTTTTTTCTATAAGAGTTGTTACCTCTGTTTCACCAATAGATTTCCGAACAAGTTCTTTCAAAACAAAGTGCACCTGAAAAGTAACAATGACATTAAAAATCTATTACTATTGGCCAAAGTACACAAACAAATTACATCAAATTTTTTTCTTGCAACTCTAATATCATCAAAATCTTTGTAAGGGAAAGATTATTATGTTCTACTCTTATTTCTTCACTAAAGGGCATCATGTAATAAGATTAGTTTGAAAAATTAAAAGCTTATTTGAGTCCTTACTGTCGTAATTGCATGAAATTTAATTATTGATACAGGATCTTCAACTCCTTAAAGTTGAGATAAAATTCTTCTCAGCCAAAGGCCTTATTTAAGTCTTTTCCTTCTATTATCTAATTCATTTCTTTCACTACTCCCCTTATTTTTTCGCTATTGGAACAACTCTATCTAATTGATCTCTTTGTAAACTTCAAAGAATACACAATAATACAGCAAGTATATCAGACACAGTAGGAATGACATATCATGATGTTAAGCAATGCAAGGATAGTATACTACACAAAATAATGTGAGAGAAAAAGTGAGTGAAGGAATTTTACAGCATCCACGGATGCTTCTGCCGGACCCTTGAAATAGCCTAGAGAGCTATCTATAAGCCTTCTATATCCTTGCTCGGGCGCAATCAGATGAGGCTGGTAACCATCTGCTTCAGAAATAACCTTTCGAACATTATGTAAAGAAAGATGTCTATCAAATGGGAGCTTCTTCAGAGCTGCAGGTAGTTGGTTGTCGAAAACCCCATAGATCCTATCTCCACCAGGTCGTCTAAGACAACAAGCAATATATCAGTACATAGAAAACCTCACAACAGCAAAATCAAAGCAGCATGTCAAGTAAACAACCTATGTCTTTTGCTTTATAGGTGAGTAGTTTTGATTTTTTTTTTTCCCATTCTGATATAGGACTTCTTTCAACCACCATGGCCTACTTACCTTCAATAATCCAAGGTACGTGCAGAACCTCAGCTGGTGATGTAAAGAAGTCAGGTGAATTGTTGAAGTGACCAAATGATTACCATCCACCAATACCTTGCTTATTTCTATAGAATTAATGGTAATCAGAGGAACAATCTAGGAGACTAGGACTATAAACATAAATAACTTTCTGAGAACATTAGCAAATGAGTGGTTTCTCTTATGACCACTGTCTAAGAGGAGTTCAAAGAGCCAAAGAAGAGTATTGGAAGAAATTGCACCCGTGACCTTTTCCTTCTTGAACCACTATATTAAGTGAAATAAAGACATTTCTGAATTCTTTGCAAGATATTATTTTACCAGAAGTTGCTTCTTCTTTAATAGATTTTTGGCAATGAAATGAATTAATAACAGTCTGTCCAAAAGAAAATTAGAAGATAAGTGATTCCCCGACCACAAACCATAAAAAAAAGAGATAAAGATTGCATTACCCTCCATCCAAGTGCTCTTTAAAAATTCGATCAAATGCACGACACATCTCCAATATTGTGTAAAGCTGCGCCTGCATATTCAAAGCAAGGCAATTATGAAATTACAGTTATGAAGATCATACCTAAAAATACGATAGATTGTTCTCAATCTTACCCCTCCATCAGCTCCAATAGGTCTGCCAAGACGGTCCAACTCAGCCTCAAGCTCATCAATTGTTTTATTAATTAAAGCTACTATACTTGGTATTCGTGCTCTGATTGCACTCTCCAGATGCTAGACAAAAGAAGTCATTGAGAAGTTTTTCAGTGATTTGAATTTTGAAGTTTTCCAACCGAAAGGAAAAAAAAAAAAAAAGAAGCCAAAAAATGAGACATGGATGGCCACCTTGGATAATAGTTTTGCGAGATACTCCGAACCCATTTTATGTGCCAGATGTCCATAATCAGGGCTATTTGCAAAATATTCTTGTTCTTTGCGTCGTGCTGCAATCATATCTACATTCTTGTTAATATCAGCTTGTGACCGATTAACAATTCCTACCCAAGGATGTTGTAACCGATACGATCTTCCTTCAAGCACCTGGGACAAGAAGAGGCAAAGTAAGGTCTCAAAGGCAGGTTCCCCCTTAGGAATATAAAATCACAAATTTCACTTTGATGCATAATCACAGATAATAAGCAAGGATAGCCTACATCTAAAGCGTTGGTACCCTTGTCCATAAGATCAAGCTTTGTCACGACACCAAAAGTTCGCTCACCTACATAAAAGAACAAAAAATGTAAGGCTATTGTTTGCATTTGACTGTGATCAAATAACCTCAACCATAGAAAGAAACTCCTACTCAAACTTCTTGTAATACTTATAGGAAGAAATAAAATAAATTTTCTACCTGAAGGATCTACTTCCCTTGCAAGCTTGATGGCATCTGAGGTGGCAATGTCTTGATTCGCAGGAGATATGGCCAGTATGATACAATTGGGCTACAAGCATTAAAAAATCATCATCACTAAAATAAGTGGGCTAATGTCAAACTTTAAATAGATACGACAATTACCCTTGACAAGATAACATCAAACGTGGATTGCATATGCCAGCAGAACTATTTCGTGCAACCTGGCACATTCTAATATATAGGTGGGAAAAATAAAAAAGGGATGCCAGCTGGAACAGACCCCAAGCTGGGGCATGTATCATGGGGGTAGAGGAGCATGGATACAGATTTCATGCTAAACAAAGCTAAATAAAATGAATGAGAACAAGGAGAAAAAAAAAATGTCCCATAGCATGCATTTCATGATAATTAAATTCAATATAATTAGATACATTTAACTTCTGTATCATCGAAAAGAAGAGAAACCTAAAGATGTGTTGTTTAGTAAAAATGTTCATTGTGTCAATTTAATTCCTATAACATAAAAGAAAGATATAACTAAAAATATGTCATCATTCACTGCAGACAATTAAATTCCTGGAACAACAAAAAGAAGAAAAACATAGAGCTATTTTGTTTACCTTTTCAACATAAGACCGCACCATATCTTCAATATCTGTGACTATTGATTCAGGCTGTCCCTCTGCAAAAACAAAAACATCCAGTAAGTTCATTGTAAAAAGAGAATTGTTTGCAGAACATAACAGATAACTAAATGACCTGAGATATTTACCTACTGCAACCTTTGTCAACCCAGGAAGATCTATGAGTGTTAAGTTAACCACTGCATAATACAACAATGCAAGAATGTTATGTAAAATATTAACCAGGAAATCTGAAGAAATCCAATATGTTCCACACATAAAACCAGTGCATTAATGTGAAACAACAAGATTACAAGATTTCAGCAAACATTTTACAGATATAATATCTTGTATATTCGCTAGAAACTCTTGCAATAATAAGCACTGAAAACAAGGAAGACTTCGACTTCTGAATTTAAAACTCATTAAGTCAAATTCTACAAATGATTGCATGTTCTCTGTCACCTCTCTCTTGATGTCATTGCATGAATGGGCATGTGTAAACATAACCTTTTACGGTCAACCATGATACATGATAAATGTATGAAGTTAATACATGATACATGTATTACAAGTAAATAATTGGAAAACTTGTAAATCTGTTTACTTAAAACTATACAAACCATGCTTTAACCACCAAAAGGATCATCATTCTGGGGCAAGAGATGGTTAAGATCTGCCATGTGAGTCTGTTGAAAATCAATATTATAATTGAAGAACTCGTACATGATACTACTCGCACGGCATCTGATACTGATATAGTATAACTGAATCAAACTAATGGTCATTATGTGTAACTGGATTACTAACCACTATGTTGGGATAGTCAAGCAAGTACGAATGTTGTGAGCCTTGTGACTGTTGATGTGAAACAAATCTAAAGTTGTGCAACCACAATAATTGTTCAGCAGCAAAATTGTCATCAATATACTGCCACTAGAAACCACATAAAGCCTCAGATTCAACAAACTAGGACCAATTATTGACATCTTATTGTGGTACATGAGATCCATGCTAGTGAAATGGTTGTGACCATGAGAACTTCGTCTGACTCAAACTCAGCTAAGCTTTTTCCCATATACTTTAAGTCATTGCCACCTCATTGCACTCGTCTTTCCAGCCATAAATTAATCTGGTAGATGATGTGTCATCTTGGTTGGTACTAGTAACTGCTCCTTAGTTCACCATCCTCTCTGTCTTTGTACTGGAAACATGAGACCCTTTACCCTGGCCATCATCATCAACAAACATGCTATCATACAACAATTATGACATTATGGACCTCATGGAGACTGAAATTAGATAAATAAAAGTCTCATCATCTTGACAGAGTTATCTAAATAAATCTGTCAAGAATATCTAGGCTGAACCTAGTTTCATGGATCTAAACTACATCAGCAAAAATTTATGTTAAATTTGTATCAATCTGCTTGAAATGTACTAGGATCTAGCCCAAATCTATGTGGATTAGGTTGAATCAAGCTCAGGTTCAACTAATATATGCTTGAAATGTGTAGAGCAAAGCTCGATTGAATGACAAACATGCATTTGAATTGAACATTGAACTAAAATATGTGTCCACAAATGGATTTTAAGCAAGAAACAAGGCATTCAAGAGCAAAAGAAGCAAATAAACTAAAGAAACGTCTTTAGAATTATCTTGATACAGGAAACAATGCAAAGTTTCATAAAATAAAAACTTGATTTGTTGATTCACAAATAGTAAATGAAGAAATCAGAGAAGACTGAGGCTTTCGGTTGGTAAAAAAATGAGAGGAGAGAAGACAGCTTCTGCTTGAAGGGAAGGGTGGGCGAGGTCGGAAAAGTGATCAGTAATAAGGCTATGGCCTATGAGTGCTAGTTTAAAATTGGGCGGACCTTCTGGGACAGTAAGTGTACTAGGTTGGACGGACCCTCTCAACATCCTGTTTATGCATTTTCCCAATACTAGACAACATCCCTAAATTTTATTCTTAATATGAACTGCTTAGATTCTAAATGTTGTCTCTATATCTCAACTTAAGGTTAATTTGCATGGATTTACATCATGGCTAAACCAAAATAGGCTGGCTATCACATACCTTTCTGTGCAATGCCATGTTTCCACGTGTATCAATCAAAACTATATTGTTCAACTCTTTATTTGACTCACTTTCTTTTCATTTAACTAAACTTATCCTCCTCTCGAGATGTTCTCCTTAGGGACCACATCATCAGCACTAACATTGTTGCCTCACACCCTTGCCAACTTACATCAATAGTCATCCCAGTAAAGTTGTTAGAGGTCATCAATACCACTACTATTGTTGGTGATTTTGTCTGTCTAATGATACACTTGCTTCTTGCTTCCAAACAAGTTTTGCCCTCCGGTACATATGTGCATAGGTCCACTGACTGAGAGACATTTAAGAACAAATGCTCAAACATTTTCAAACAAGAGATGTGTGTGTATTTTTTTTCCTTTAGTTCATCCATTTCATCCTGGATCTAAGCAATGAATCACCATAATTGTCAACATGTTCAAAATTCGAGTACATCTTAAATCTTTTTAATTGAATTACCCCACAACAGACAGGATTTATAATTGGACTTTAACATTACAAAGCTTATGTAGATATTATATCCCACTTTTATGTGATGGAAACATGAAAGAAACAAGAAAAACCGTTGTGACGGATAAAAGGATGGAAAATAACCTCAAACATATGACTATGAAATAAGAATAATCCTTACATGAAAAGTACTATAAAGATGGATTGGAACATTATATAAGCATACGGACCATGTGGCGAGTAAATGCTCAGATGGATTGGAACATTGGATATTTGTTTTGATTTTCCAGTTATCCGATCAGTTTCATCAGCAATCTCCTTTCTAACACCAGCTGCAAATGCATAAAATTAAAAACATACTTCATTAACCATAGTTATCTGCATGAATCTAATAAAAGTACAATGATTAACGATCTAATATATAGATATTTGTATACTTCCAGCAGATTTAGAAATAAGATTCAGCAGAAGCCATCATTCCAACACTTGATTAACAACCATGAATTAGTAAGATGTATAATACTGTTTTTTGTGTATTGACATCAACTGCCTTACTTTCGAGACAATCTTGTAGATACACTTGAAAGAGTTGGTACAAGCTTCGAATGGCCTAGTTTTAAAATGTCCCGATAGGTTAGGTTCAGACCAACTTATCCTTATAATTGAGTCAATTTACTAGTCATTTGATTAAACCTTTTTCCCTTTTTTTCTTTTAAAACTTTAGTACTTTTTTATTAGCTTAATCTTGGTTTTAGTCTTGTGGAGTCCTGGCAAGTATAATTTCTGAAAATGTTTTTTGAATTATAAGTGGAGTTATTTAATAATTCTCTGAGTTAAATATCAAGATTTTTCAGTGACTCCAAATTTTTTTATTTAGGAAAATCTTGCTCTGCAAAAGAGGTCTAACAAAGCTGGTAGAAACATAAACTTGAGGACCAACAATTTGATACTTGAAAAAGCATGGCATTCACATGAAACAAACAGGAGCATAGCAGGATCATAGCACCGAGGGTTTAAGAAACTATTCATTGTAGGAGAATGCCAAAGTTCATTAACAGATCATGGGCATCGGTCCAGCATCCTACCAGCAAGCCAGCAAAATCATAGAACTCACGGAAACTAAGCCCAGAAGAAAAAAATCCAAACTAATCTGAGAAATTAAGATTTTTTTCCTTCATAAGTGCGTGTATGCGTTCCAAACAAGGATATGATGAAAAGATCTAAACGTAAAAAATATGATGCTAACAAGAAAACAGATAAAGTTGTTAACTTCGAGACAAAATGTATCAAAAATAAAGCGACTAAGTGCCTTCAAAAAGAACAGAACAGAAAATCTAAGCTCTAATCAATCAGATCCTACCAAAGTCGGTATACTTCCTCCTAGGGGCATGAAGGAACTCCGCGTACTCCGACCCACTCTCCATCTTGTGAAGTTGCAACACCAACGGCCTCCGGGTCACGATACCTGATCCAGACGAATAGATCTCAAACCATAACCCAGGAAACAAGAACCCCAGAGGATGGATCGAAAGAGATCCGCATTGGGACGTTACCAGATCCACGAGGCAAGAAGTCCCTCCCCACGATGCTCTCCAGCACGGACGACTTCCCTGAGCTCTGAGATCCCAAAAAATGGATGATCAAGAGTTGACGAAAGATGCCAGGCACGAGCGATCTGGGAAGCAAAGAATGCTGTTACGCGAGGACTGGGGCTACCTGGCCGCCGACGACGGCGACGGAGGGGAGAGCTTCCCACAGGGAGCCCTCGCCGCCATGATCGCCCAAGACGGTGCACGCCCTCTGGATCCGGTTCACGAGGCCGATCAGGCTCTCCATGGTCGCCATTGCCACGGAGAAGAAGCAGAGAAGGCGAGATCCGAGAGAGAAGGGAATAGAAATAAAATGCAAAACGAAAAAAGAAAAAGAGGAATGGCTCTCCAGGGGTTCCCCGCAGCGTGTTTCCATTTAAATAGACGTGTCGAGTCGTTGCGATGGATCCTGGCCGTCCGTTCCGATGAGCGCGCTTAAATTGAAGGATATCATGTCGCTGATCGCTGAAACATCAAATCATGATGATGAAGCTGCTGCTGTCCACCTCGTCTTATTGGAGTCACTGGAGACCACAATGAGAGCGCCCAGGCTTGTCCATCCGATCGCTCGCTGGTGTCGGCGACGGCCACAGCTATAGCAGGAGGCGCGCGTGCCTGAAGGGAGACGTGGTTAGTGGTACAGGGAGTTGTCTGAATGGCGCGCGGCAGCCATGTTCGAGATCGCCCGGTAGATGTCAGTAGCAGTAGAAAACTAAGTGACGGGGTACGTCCGAGGTTGTCGGCGTGAGTCGGGAGATCCCCGAGCCCCAGGTTCGTCTTCTCACAGGGCTCTGCAGTAGCAAGGAGCCACACCTCAAAAGGCTAGCAAATGATATTCTTTGAACTACAAATTTGAAGCAATTATTCAACATTGCTTCATTCAAAAGGATCACAATTGCTACGGAAGGTTAGTAGAAGAAAACATTAAAATTACGATTTTGGACTGTGGCTGAGAAAATAAAAATGCATGCGATTCTAATGTCGCCTCGGCAAGAGCTCAGCTTCTATACGCTGGGCTTCATCTATCAGCTCCTGTAGCACTATAGACTTCTGTGACTCCTCCATGGTTGTGGTTGCCAGATTGCGAAGATGTTTCAAGCATGACAGATACTCTTTCTTAACATTGGGAGCATCCAACACCAAGCTGCGTGTACAAGGCTACATAAGAAGCCTCATTAGAATGAGCAGAGATCATTCACGTAAATCAAATAGTACAGAAAACTATAAGTGATTGAGGTTTTAGACGATACCAGTTTAACAAGCCATTCATGAGATACCATTAGCAAGGAAAAACATACAAAGAAGCAATCATAACTAGACATTTATGATTACCAGCACTACACCTATTTCAAATGGTCACACCTCGTACAAATATCAAGTGGCAGCGAAACTGATAGATAATGACTAATTGAGTCAAAACTCAATCCATATATGAGTCTCTCAAGGACAGACAGACTAAATGTCAACTACGTTGGAATTTCAGTTAAGCAGGGTTGTTCAATGAATGGATACACATCTGCATTTTTCACAGGTGAATTGTACGTACTTTCAAACATGTCCCTCCACAAAAATTATCAGCTATGTAGGTCACATGATACTGAGTTTGGTTTCCGCTTCCTTAACTAGACAAATACATCAAAACAGGTGTCCAGGTTTCGCTGTTCAGTGACATTCTTCACACTCTAAGCTCAAGGTTTGACAATATAAGATATTAGTACAGAGAAATCTCTTAAACCTTTAAGCATCAGAAAATGCACTATGCTTGAACCTTGCCTTGCACATTTGAATCAACATATGTGATTGATATTCGCAAAGCCAAACAGATATTTACTGAGTCAAAGAGCTGATATGAAAGGACTGACAAGTACTATATCTCTTCTGGGATCGAAGTTATACAACAATAACAAAGCCTAAGTCCTAACTATTTAAGGTCGGCTACATGAATCTTTTTGGGATCTAAGTTCCATATAAACATAAATTTTAAATACAAACAAGTAATAAGCTCATGTGGCTAACACAAAAGACTTGAGAAGTTCTATCATGAGTTTACATTTTCATTAAAAATGAAAAAACAAGCATTGCAAAATCTGAAAGAGGTACACAATAAATGACGAAGATTTGAAATGAAAAAACCTAAAATTCATATATACATACCTCTTTGAATATTGAAATACAATCACGAAGAGCATGTTCTACTTCAAAAGGATATTCGAATGTTTCCTGAGTTTAAAAACATATCATTACAAGTCAAATTCAGCAATGCAAACTAATGTTAAGAATAAATACAAATAATTTAAAAAGAGTGTTGGCATTGGAAAACATTAGGAAGAAAATTTAGAAACCACATTGAATTCCCAATAGTCAAATTTTTAGGGTAACTTAAACTGTTATTTTCATGTCTCCTTTGTTTCTAAGGTTTCTAGTCTAATAGCAGTGGCTATATTGCACAACTATTACAAATATATGTAAATCTAGTCTAATAGCAGTAATCTTGTCTGTGCTAGAAATGGCACAAATTGACAGGGACTAGTTAAATTGTAAGATTTTCTTTAAAATTGCTATTTACTCAGCAAAAAAGTTACCATATATGATATACACCATGTTGATTAAGATAGTGAGCAATACAATTCAGTGCCCCACCATTTATCTAACTATACCAATATTTACAGTTTTGTAACTACAGTTCACTAAAAAAATTGACTATCATTCCAAAAGATTTTCAATTTAGATACTTCATGTCCCTGCTCCCGATGGAGAGATGAACTTCATCTCATTTTAGATAAACTTATTTCCAAAATGCATTATCATGTGTGTGTGCATATATATATATATATATATATATATATATATATAAGAGAATTAGAATAGTAGTAGAATTTCAACCCCGAACTAATATCACACTTTTATCCCATGACTTGTTTTTATTTCTCAGACATGATTATTAGAAAGCAGCACAAAGATTGAGGCACAAGGAAATTTCACATTCAACAATTAGCAGTAATGGGAATAATGTTAACTAGATTTTTGTTGCAATTTACTGAAATTTCTCTGTGTTGGCTATTTGAGGAAAACGAATTTTCTGAAAAATCAAGATATAGGTGCTCTGAAATGGAGTCCATAGATAGTAAATATGGTTTTTCAAGCTATACTATGACTTGAGATGCAAAAATGAACATTTCTCACTACTTTTTTCATCATAGTGATGAAGGTACTTTCTTCAAAGATGGAAACTACTTTCATCAACACAATACCAGATATTTCCATTCCACATCTACCAGGCAATTAGCTACCCAAAGAAAAGATTATAATAGAAAAACTGGTGAAATCCAGCAAGCTTGCAAGATAAACTTGTTGTCTTAATCATAAGGTAAAGGATTTCGTAACTCTAGACACAAAACATATTAAAGGTAGACAAAAATAAGAAACTTGTTTCATGGATTCAACCCGCAAACTATGAACTGTTTATACCTCAACACCAAAAAGAAAAAATCTAGAGTCATGTTTTGAAGTCAATGATATTGGATGCTGGAGCAATTATTTCCTTTCTTGGCCAAAAAATAACAGATAAAATCAAATGCTGAAATGTTGTGACCAAGCATATATATAGTGTACATCGGAATTCCAAATAAAATTAAAAGCAGTACCAACTTTCTGAATGCTAGACATTCCTTTCGGAGATTCATAAACAGAATATTCAACTCATTAATTAAAATGGATATTATAAATAACGAAGGCAATGGCTTAGAAACAGACCCTAGCTTCTACTAATTCTCGGCTTTGGACATCCAGAAGGCCAAGAGAATCCAGCGACTGTAACTGCATACAAATTATTTGACTGAGCTTCAAATATAAAGAAGTATGCAATAATATATGCTCATAATTGATGATTAAATGCAATTATATCATCTTAAGCAAGAAACTTTATAATCCACAAGTATGTATCTGATTTGCCTTGGAGAAACCAAATCAAATCATACAGACTAATGAACCTAATATCAATCATTTATTCTGTACATATATGATTCAAGTCAACTTCAAAAGAATGGAAGTATATATTACTGGGATAAACATACCAAATGAATCAATACAAATAATAATGAGAAGTTGTACATAAGAAATTCATCATTATATAGCCAATACAAACTGACCTGTACAATCAATGCAACATGTCGATCTTTCTCACCTTCAGAATGGCTACTCTTGAAACTGTTCTGGTTCATACCTGATGACCCCAAAATGTCCTTTGCAATCCTGTAAGGAAAATATCCAACAAAAGCCAGAATCATTTAAAACAAATTTCAGGTTGAAATGCTAAATCATAACAAACAAATTTAAAAAGAAACTTAGTAGTTCGAAACAATAAAGCCAATGACACATAGGAGGCATAATGTGCCACAATCTAAAATGAAAGATCAGGATATAACAGCTTATATGAACTTACATGTTTTAAATTATGATATGTAGTCAACAATTTATCAGTTGTTGCCCAATATACATCATTCTACCAATTAATGTACCAAAACCTAGGTATGTCGTTACCACAATCTGAGACATATGAAACATTTACCTGTATGTATTGCTGCAGTCGTTTATGAGCATATGAACAAAAGGAGGTGTTATCAAGTAATCCATTATAACAGTACAAACAAAGTTTCCAAAGATCAGCAGTGTAAGGTTTCAGTATTTTGTCAGCATGATAAGGCTCCACAAAATCCTGCCAACAATCTATAGTATAAATTAGCCAGATCTATCATGGCACAAGTCAACACAGTTCAGCACTTCATGTCAGGGAAACTTGAATCCTTGGTTGAAAGTTTAAACCCTGTTTTTCTTCCCAAGACTAACAATGACCTTCATCAAGAAATAAAAACCAGTTGTCTCGTTCAGTACAGACCAGTAACGACCGGTTCAATGGCCAAGCACTACAAGGACGCAGGTAATTTTGCCCATTCCAGTCAGGTGTTGGCCTCAGTGACTGTTATGCTTGCCGTATCAGGTTCATCGAGCGAAAAGCTGATTTTTTTTCTTTTAGCCAAAAGCTTATCAACAGACAGCTGTACAGGGCGGTAAGACTATTGCCCAATATAAGATTCAAGCCCCCTTTTATCTCATCTTCTCACCTCCAATCTTTCTCCCTTTCTTCTCCTCTTCTCACCCTCCGCCACTACAGCTTCCCCACAATATCCGATCCTTCGCTGTTGTCACTGCTTCCCTACCTTCGCCACTCCTTCCCACCACCATTGTGCACCAATCTCACCATTGCTCCGTACCTATAATACCATTTGGTTACTCATTGAGAACCTTCTTGTTTCAAACCATTACTAAGCTATTATTTGCTACAACTAACTCTCTTCAAATA